GAGGTTTGAACAGCAGAACTGCAGAACTGCAGTCAGCTGAAGTAGCCTCCAGTGCTGCATTTAACCACTGCGCCACCTCGGCTCAGCAGCCTGCAGTTGGGTTTCATTTTTATTACAGTATATTCAGGGATGGGATTGAAAATTTTTAGCCCGGTTGTTGATTGGGCATAGGAGGGGGGGGCATGGCCTACCCCGCCTCCTCATGGTGGGGTGCGGGGTTTCAGCCTCCCCGGGTTCTGGAGGCTTTCTCCGAGCCTCTGGGAGGGCGAAAACTGCCTCCCCATGCTCCCGAGGCCCTGCGGAACAGGCCCATTTCCAGATTTCTGGAACTTCCAGTAGGCCTGTTTTTCGTGCTCCCAGGGCCTCCACGAGAGCCCTGTACTTACCTGGCATTATGAACGGGCTGCATGGAGACTCCAGTGAGGGGAGGGGTGGGCGTGGCCAGCCAGTGCTTATAACAACCGGTTCGGCAAACCAGATGCAAAATTAAGCAACCAGTTTGCCTGAACCGGTGCGAACCGGCTGAATCCAACCCCTGATTATATTACTGATTATTCCCGGGTACATCCGTTCAACCGATATTAATCAAGGTAGATAAAATTCCTCCGCTAAGTGAGGTACAAAGCGTCTCTCCGTTTCACAAGCTTTCCTTTATTTCGACAGGATCTGAAAAATACCAACTTCAACCACAGAAGTACCGGCAATAAGCCTGCCACTGCCACTGCCAATGCAGACCTTTCGGAAGCCAGGTCAAGTCTGCCGGATGACCAAGCAATTACTCATAGTAGTAACTGTTACAACGCCAACACAGCTTGCCAAGAAGCAAATGAGGTCGGTACATTTCCTAGAGATCTGCTGATTAACAAGACGGTGGATGAGCTTCCGGAAGGTGTGGATCCCACCAAAAAGGAGGTAGGATGGGCTGTCCCAATCAGCATTACGTAATGGTCGGTTCACACAATGTACAATTTTGGGGTGTTGCCCAGATGTTTGTTCTAAGACACTCAAGAACTGCATCCCAATAACAAGGGAAGGTACCTAGGTCTTCTTCACAGAGGCTGTGGCCATGTTTGGGGAGGGTGGTTGACTTTTTCAGAAATGGAGTATTAAAGAGAATATTTGTAGCTCAATGTTGAACTGTGGGTTCCTTGGTGCTCTCTGAGCTTAGTGGTGTTCTTACAGAGTACTGATGATGTTATCTACTTTGGTGATGAAACGTCTCCAAGAAAATCACCAAGCTTAGAAGGCAAAGGATCCCACAATCCTCCTCCTCCTAGCACTGATGATGTTATCTAGTTCAGGAATGAAATATCTGCAAGAAAACAACCAAGCTCAGAGAGCACCAAGGACCCCACAGTCCTTCTCCGCCTCTCTCCCCTCTTCTGCTTCCTCATCCCTCTCTCTCCAAACCCACTCCCTTCTAGCACTGATGATGTTACCTAGTTCAGTAATGAAATATCTGCAAGAAAACAACCAAGCTCAGAGGACCCCCCACAATGGTGTATCTGTGTCCTTTTCACATACAACATGTGGGTGATTGCGGTTCTACTCTGGTAGCCTCTGGAAAAGGATTTTGCCAACTTCAGTATTGAGAAGGCCTCCTCAGGTGACAGGGATAAAGTTGTGAATAGGGAACATCCTAAGAATGGTATCTGTTGGTATCTCACCCATTCTTCCATTCCCCCGCCATCAGAACTGGTGAAGCTTTTGGGATGAGAAGCAAAATGTGTTTTTTCTTCTTCTTCTTCTTCTTCTTCTTCTTCTTCTTCTTCTTCTTCTTCTTCTTCTTCTTC